ACGCGGCGGTGACGCAGCGCGTTTTCGAGGTCGAAGTCCGCCAGTGGGAGGTGAATCGATTTGGTATCGAACGATCTGTTGAATCGGAAAGCTGCGATCATTTCACGGTGGAGACGTCGCTCAGAGAGGACATTGGTGCCCGTTCACCGGGCCGTTGTCCTCTCTCGTTATTTCTTTTCCGGGAAAGGGCTCAGGCCCAGTGTTGTCTTTTAGTAGGTGATCTCAGTGCCGGGCCCTCGTCGCCACCGCTGGATTCGTTTCGAAATTCTGGGCAGAACGCACCCCAGGAGAGGTCCAGGGAGTAGCGGCATCAGTACCTTTCGGCTTCCCCAGTTTGGATTGAGCAAACCATGATCGTCTGAGGATTGGCCTCCCGGACCCCTCCACGTGCGCGTTCTGTCCAGGAGATCGAAACGGTTCCAATCTGCCTGCGTTGGCCACCCCGGAGGCCCCAAAAGCGCAATCACATCAGCAGCATCACAAGGATCACCTCAATCCTCGATCCAGGATCCCAGACGTCCGATGCCCTGATGTTTTCAGTGCGCGTGCCCTGGAGCTCTCGACGCATTCCGCGGACCGGTCTTTCTGAATGTTCTATTGAATTGTGCCTTTTCGATCCGGGAGCCCGGAGACAGCCTCCGACGGCGCGTAGCCATTTTGGCTCACGCCCTCTTGGCTCAGCACCAGCATCGTTCGACTAGGGCGCGTCGCCGTGCCCCAGCTCCGCCGCGCTCCGCCGAACGAGGCGATGGTCCACTCGAGCGTGGTCGAGCCCGCGGCCAAGAGGGCCAAGACCACCGACCTGGCCGCGCTCCGCGCGTTCACCTACGGGGAGCCCAAGGTCATCGCCGAGATCGGCTGCAACCACCGGGGCGAGATCGAGACCGCGAAGGAGCTGCTCACGCTCGCGAAGGAGGCGGGCGCGACAGTGGGCAAGTTCCAGAAGCGGTGCCCCAGAGAGCTGCTGACGCCAGACCAGTACAACGCGCCCCACCCGAACCCGCAGAACTCCTTCGGCTCGACCTACGGGGAGCACCGCGAGTTTCTCGAGCTGAGCCTCGACGACCATCGCGAGCTGCAGAAGCACTGCCAGTCGATCGGCATCGAGTACTCTTGCTCCACCTGGGACCTCACCTCCGCAAAAGAGATCGTACAGCTGAACCCATGGTTGATTAAGGTTGGATCTCCGTCCAACATGCATTGGGACATGATGGAGTATCTTCGCGACCACTATGCTGGGGAGGTCCACATTTCCACAGGCATGACCACCAAGGACGAGATCGAGCAGATCGTTAAGTTCTGGGAGGTAGGCGGCCACGCCGCGAACCGCGTCGTGCTGTACAATTGCACCTCTGGATACCCCGTGCCGTTCAAGGACGTCTGCCTGCTCGACATCCGGCTGCTGCAGGAAAAGTACCAGCACCGCGTCAAGTGCATCGGCTTTTCGGGGCACCACCTGGGCATTGCCATAGACGTTGCGGCATACGCGATTGGCGCGCAGTGGATCGAGCGCCACTTCACCAAGGACCGCACCTGGAAGGGCACCGACCACGCCGCCTCCCTGGAGCCCGCCGGTCTCACGAAGCTCGTCCGCGATCTCGACGCCTGCTACACCGCCTGCACCTACAAGGAGACCGACATCTTGCCGCTGGAGTCGGAGCAGCGTGCGAAGCTGAAGTGGGGCCTGTACAATAAGGATATCGTGGCCAAGCTGAAAGATCGCCGCCCCATCTAGGGCGGCGCAGGGTGTGCAAGGCTCTGCGATGGAATTCGTCTTCGACACGCGCATGCGCTGTCCGATGCGGCGGCGCCACGCGTGTCATCTTTTCCGTGCTATCAATTTAGGACCAAACCATCCCCGGTCGGTGAGTGCTTGTTCTCGACCTCAGTGGTTCATGTGCGGCTTGGTGTGAGATCCACGCCTGCCTGCAGCGTTCACCAGATCCGAGCAAAGAGACTGCGGAGCAACAGTAAGAAAACATAAGGAATAGAGCCTCCGACGGCCGAAGACGGGGAGGAGATTTTCTCCTCTACTTTTCATGACGTCGGAGTCTGGGATCCTCGGTCTGCCATCGGGCGGTGGACGAGGAGCATCTAGCGACACAGGAGGAACGAGCTGCTGGTTCGCACCGGGTCGACGCGGCGGTGACGCCAGCGCGTTCGAGGTCGAAGGCCGCCAGTGGAGGGGAATCGATTTGTATCGAACGATCTGTTGAATCGGAAAGCTGCGATCATTCACGGTGGAACGTCGCTCAGAGGAGGACTTGGTGCCCGATTCCGTTGTCCTCTCTCGTTATTTCTTTTCCGGGAAAGGGCTCAGGCCCAGTGTTGTCTTTTAGTAGGTGATCTCAGTGCCGGGCCCTCGTCGCCACCGCTGGATTCGTTTCGAAATTCTGGGCAGAACGCACCCCAGGAGAGGTCCAAGGAGTAGCGGCATCAGTACCTTTCGGCTTCCCCAGTTTGGATTGAGCAAACCATGATCGTCTGAGGATTGGCCTCCCGGACCCCTCCACGTGCGCGTTCTGTCCAGGAGATCGAAACGGTTCCAATCTGCCTGCGTTGGCCACCCCGGAGGCCCCAAAAGCGCAATCACATCAGCAGCATCACAAGGATCACCTCAATCCTCGATCCAGGATCCCAGACGTCCGATGCCCTGATGTTTTCAGTGCGCGTGCCCTGGAGCTCTCGACGCATTCCGCGGACCGGTCTTTCTGAATGTTCTATTGAATTGTGCCTTTTCGATCCGGGAGCCCGGAGACAGCCTCCGACGGCGCGTAGCCATTTTGGCTCACGCCCTCTTGGCTCAGCACCAGCATCGTTCGACTAGGGCGCGTCGCCGTGCCCCAGCTCCGCCGCGCTCCGCCGAACGAGGCGATGGTCCACTCGAGCGTGGTCGAGCCCGCGGCCAAGAGGGCCAAGACCACCGACCTGGCCGCGCTCCGCGCGTTCACCTACGGGGAGCCCAAGGTCATCGCCGAGATCGGCTGCAACCACCGGGGCGAGATCGAGACCGCGAAGGAGCTGCTCACGCTCGCGAAGGAGGCGGGCGCGACAGTGGGCAAGTTCCAGAAGCGGTGCCCCAGAGAGCTGCTGACGCCAGACCAGTACAACGCGCCCCACCCGAACCCGCAGAACTCCTTCGGCTCGACCTACGGGGAGCACCGCGAGTTTCTCGAGCTGAGCCTCGACGACCATCGCGAGCTGCAGAAGCACTGCCAGTCGATCGGCATCGAGTACTCTTGCTCCACCTGGGACCTCACCTCCGCAAAAGAGATCGTACAGCTGAACCCATGTTTGATTAAGGTTGGATCTCCGTCCAACATGCATTGGGACATGATGGAGTATCTTCGCGACCACTATGCTGGGGAGGTCCACATTTCCACAGGCATGACCACCAAGGACGAGATCGAGCAGATCGTTAAGTTCTGGGAGGTAGGCGGCCACGCCGCGAACCGCGTCGTGCTGTACAATTGCACCTCTGGATACCCCGTGCCGTTCAAGGACGTCTGCCTGCTCGACATCCGGCTGCTGCAGGAAAAGTACCAGCACCGCGTCAAGTGCATCGGCTTTTCGGGGCACCACCTGGGCATTGCCATAGACGTTGCGGCATACGCGATGGGCGCGCAGTGGATCGAGCGCCACTTCACCAAGGACCGCACCTGGAAGGGCACCGACCACGCCGCCTCCCTGGAGCCCGCCGGTCTCACGAAGCTCGTCCGCGATCTCGACGCCTGCTACACCGCCTGCACCTACAAGGAGACCGACATCTTGCCGCTGGAGTCGGAGCAGCGTGCGAAGCTGAAGTGGGGCCTGTACAATAAGGATATCGTGGCCAAGCTGAAAGATCGCCGCCCCATCTAGGGCGGCGCAGGGTGTGCAAGGCTCTGCGATGGAATTCGTCTTCGACACGCGCATGCGCTGTCCGATGCGGCGGCGCCACGCGTGTCATCTTTTCCGTGCTATCAATTTAGGACCAAACCATCCCCGGTCGGTGAGTGCTTGTTCTCGACCTCAGTGGTTCATGTGCGGCTTGGTGTGAGATCCACGCCTGCCTGCAGCGTTCACCAGATCCGAGCAAAGAGACTGCGGAGCAACAGTAAGAAAACATAAGGAATAGAGCCTCCGACGGCCGAAGACGGGGAGGAGATTTTCTCCTCTACTTTTCATGACGTCGGAGTCTGGGATCCTCGGTCTGCCATCGGGCGGTGGACGAGGAGCATCTAGCGACACAGGAGGAACGAGCTGCTGGTTCGCACCGGGTCGACGCGGCGGTGACGCCAGCGCGTTCGAGGTCGAAGGCCGCCAGTGGAGGGGAATCGATTTGTATCGAACGATCTGTTGAATCGGAAAGCTGCGATCATTCACGGTGGAACGTCGCTCAGAGGAGGACTTGGTGCCCGATTCCGTTGTCCTCTCTCGTTATTTCTTTTCCGGGAAAGGGCTCAGGCCCAGTGTTGTCTTTTAGTAGGTGATCTCAGTGCCGGGCCCTCGTCGCCACCGCTGGATTCGTTTCGAAATTCTGGGCAGAACGCACCCCAGGAGAGGTCCAGGGAGTAGCGGCATCAGTACCTTTCGGCTTCCCCAGTTTGGATTGAGCAAACCATGATCGTCTGAGGATTGGCCTCCCGGACCCCTCCACGTGCGCGTTCTGTCCAGGAGATCGAAACGGTTCCAATCTGCCTGCGTTGGCCACCCCGGAGGCCCCAAAAGCGCAATCACATCAGCAGCATCACAAGGATCACCTCAATCCTCGATCCAGGATCCCAGACGTCCGATGCCCTGATGTTTTCAGTGCGCGTGCCCTGGAGCTCTCGACGCATTCCGCGGACCGGTCTTTCTGAATGTTCTATTGAATTGTGCCTTTTCGATCCGGGAGCCCGGAGACAGCCTCCGACGGCGCGTAGCCATTTTGGCTCACGCCCTCTTGGCTCAGCACCAGCATCGTTCGACTAGGGCGCGTCGCCGTGCCCCAGCTCCGCCGCGCTCCGCCGAACGAGGCGATGGTCCACTCGAGCGTGGTCGAGCCCGCGGCCAAGAGGGCCAAGACCACCGACCTGGCCGCGCTCCGCGCGTTCACCTACGGGGAGCCCCAAGGTCATCGCCGAGAATCGCTGCAACCACCGGGGCGAGGAGCGAGACCCGCGAAGGAGCTGAGCTCCGCTCGCGAGGAAGGGCGGGCGCGACAGTGGGCAAGTTCCAGAAGCGGTGCCCCAGAGAGCTGCTGACGCCAGACCAGTACAACGCGCCCCGCAGTACAACGCGCCCCATCCGAACCCGCAGAACTCCTTCGGTCGACCTACGGGGAGCTCCGCGAAGTTTTTCTCGCTCTGCGCCTCGTGACGACCATCGCGAGCTGCAGAAGCAACTGCCAGTCGTCGGCATCGAGTACTCTTGCTCCACCTGGGACCTCACCTCCGCAAAGAGATCGTACAGCTTGAACCCAGTTTTGATTAAGGTTGGATCTCCGTCCAACATGCATTGGGACATGATGGAGTATCTTCGCGACCACTATGCTGGGGAGGTCCACATTTCCACAGGCATGACCACCAAGGACGAGATCGAGCAGATCGTTAAGTTCTGGGAGGTAGGCGGCCACGCCGCGAACCGCGTCGTGCTGTACAATTGCACCTCTGGATACCCCGTGCCGTTCAAGGACGTCTGCCTGCTCGACATCCGGCTGCTGCAGGAAAAGTACCAGCACCGCGTCAAGTGCATCGGCTTTTCGGGGCACCACCTGGGCATTGCCATAGACGTTGCGGCATACGCGATGGGCGCGCAGTGGATCGAGCGCCACTTCACCAAGGACCGCACCTGGAAGGGCACCGACCACGCCGCCTCCCTGGAGCCCGCCGGTCTCACGAAGCTCGTCCGCGATCTCGACGCCTGCTACACCGCCTGCACCTACAAGGAGACCGACATCTTGCCGCTGGAGTCGGAGCAGCGAGCGAAGCTGAAGTGGGGCCTGTACAATAAGGATATCGTGGCCAAGCTGAAAGATCGCCGCCCCATCTAGGGCGGCGCAGGGTGTGCAAGGCTCTGCGATGGAATTCGTCTTCGACACGCGCATGCGCTGTCCGATGCGGCGGCGCCACGCGTGTCATCTTTTCCGTGCTATCAATTTAGGACCAAACCATCCCCGGTCGGTGAGTGCTTGTTCTCGACCTCAGTGGTTCATGTGCGGCTTGGTGTGAGATCCACGCCTGCCTGCAGCGTTCACCAGATCCGAGCAAAGAGACTGCGGAGCAACAGTAAGAAAACATAAGGAATAGAGCCTCCGACGGCCGAAGACGGGGAGGAGATTTTCTCCTCTACTTTTCATGACGTCGGAGTCTGGGATCCTCGGTCTGCCATCGGGCGGTGGACGAGGAGCATCTAGCGACACAGGAGGAACGAGCTGCTGGTTCGCACCGGGTCGACGCGGCGGTGACGCCAGCGCGTTCGAGGTCGAAGGCCGCCAGTGGAGGGGAATCGATTTGTATCGAACGATCTGTTGAATCGGAAAGCTGCGATCATTCACGGTGGAACGTCGCTCAGAGGAGGACTTGGTGCCCGATTCCGTTGTCCTCTCTCGTTATTTCTTTTCCGGGAAAGGGCTCAGGCCCAGTGTTGTCTTTTAGTAGGTGATCTCAGTGCCGGGCCCTCGTCGCCACCGCTGGATTCGTTTCGAAATTCTGGGCAGAACGCACCCCAGGAGAGGTCCAGGGAGTAGCGGCATCAGTACCTTTCGGCTTCCCCAGTTTGGATTGAGCAAACCATGATCGTCTGAGGATTGGCCTCCCGGACCCCTCCACGTGCGCGTTCTGTCCAGGAGATCGAAACGGTTCCAATCTGCCTGCGTTGGCCACCCCGGAGGCCCCAAAAGCGCAATCACATCAGCAGCATCACAAGGATCACCTCAATCCTCGATCCAGGATCCCAGACGTCCGATGCCCTGATGTTTTCAGTGCGCGTGCCCTGGAGCTCTCGACGCATTCCGCGGACCGGTCTTTCTGAATGTTCTATTGAATTGTGCCTTTTCGATCCGGGAGCCCGGAGACAGCCTCCGACGGCGCGTAGCCATTTTGGCTCACGCCCTCTTGGCTCAGCACCAGCATCGTTCGACTAGGGCGCGTCGCCGTGCCCCAGCTCCGCCGCGCTCCGCCGAACGAGGCGATGGTCCACTCGAGCGTGGTCGAGCCCGCGGCCAAGAGGGCCAAGACCACCGACCTGGCCGCGCTCCGCGCGTTCACCTACGGGGAGCCCAAGGTCATCGCCGAGATCGGCTGCAACCACCGGGGCGAGATCGAGACCGCGAAGGAGCTGCTCACGCTCGCGAAGGAGGCGGGCGCGACAGTGGGCAAGTTCCAGAAGCGGTGCCCCAGAGAGCTGCTGACGCCAGACCAGTACAACGCGCCCCACCCGAACCCGCAGAACTCCTTCGGCTCGACCTACGGGGAGCACCGCGAGTTTCTCGAGCTGAGCCTCGACGACCATCGCGAGCTGCAGAAGCACTGCCAGTCGATCGGCATCGAGTACTCTTGCTCCACCTGGGACCTCACCTCCGCAAAAGAGATCGTACAGCTGAACCCATGTTTGATTAAGGTTGGATCTCCGTCCAACATGCATTGGGACATGATGGAGTATCTTCGCGACCACTATGCTGGGGAGGTCCACATTTCCACAGGCATGACCACCAAGGACGAGATCGAGCAGATCGTTAAGTTCTGGGAGGTAGGCGGCCACGCCGCGAACCGCGTCGTGCTGTACAATTGCACCTCTGGATACCCCGTGCCGTTCAAGGACGTCTGCCTGCTCGACATCCGGCTGCTGCAGGAAAAGTACCAGCACCGCGTCAAGTGCATCGGCTTTTCGGGGCACCACCTGGGCATTGCCATAGACGTTGCGGCATACGCGATGGGCGCGCAGTGGATCGAGCGCCACTTCACCAAGGACCGCACCTGGAAGGGCACCGACCACGCCGCCTCCCTGGAGCCCGCCGGTCTCACGAAGCTCGTCCGCGATCTCGACGCCTGCTACACCGCCTGCACCTACAAGGAGACCGACATCTTGCCGCTGGAGTCGGAGCAGCGTGCGAAGCTGAAGTGGGGCCTGTACAATAAGGATATCGTGGCCAAGCTGAAAGATCGCCGCCCCATCTAGGGCGGCGCAGGGTGTGCAAGGCTCTGCGATGGAATTCGTCTTCGACACGCGCATGCGCTGTCCGATGCGGCGGCGCCCACGCGTGTCATCCTTTTCCGTGCTATCACTTTAGACCAAACCATCCGGTCGGTTGAGTGTTGTTCCGACCTCGTGGTTCATGTTGGGCTTGGTGTGAGAACCCGCCTGCCTGCAGCGTTTCCCAGATCCGAGCAAAGAGATTGCGGTAGCAACAGTAAGAAAACATAGAATAGAGGCCTCCGACGGCCGAAGCACGGGGAGGAGATATTCTTCAACTTTTCATGACGTCGGCGTTGGGATCCTCGGTTCTTGCATCGGGCGTGTGGACGAGGAAGCATCTAGCGACACAGGAGGAACGAGCTTGCTGAGTTCGCACCGGGTCGAGGCGGCGGTGACGGCCAGCCGCGTTCGATTCGAAGGCCGCAGTGGAGGGGGGAATCGATTCTGTATCGAACGATCTGTTGAATCGGAAAGCTGCGATCATTCACTGTTGAAACGTCGCTCAGGGAGGACTTGGTGCCCGATTCCGTTGTTTGTTCTCTCTCGTTATTTCATTTCGGGAATGGCTCAGGCCCAGTGTTGTCTTTTAGTAGTTTGATCTCAGTTGCCGGGCCCTCGTCGCCACCGCTGGATTCGTTTTTCGAAAAATCTGTGCAGAACGACCCGGAGAGGTCCAGGGAGTCAAAGTGAGCGGCAATCAGTACCTTTCGGCTTCCCCAGTTTGGATTGAGCCACCATGAAGTCTGAGGATTGGCCTCCGGACCCCTCCACGTGCGCGATCTTCAGGAGATCGAAAACGGTTCCAATCTGCTGCGTTGGCCACCCGGAGGCCCAAAAGCCGCATATCACATCAGCAGCTTCACAAGGATCACCTCAATCCTCGATCCAGGATCCCAGACGTCCGATGCCCTGATGTTTTCAGTGCGCGTGCCCTGGAGCTCTCGACGCATTCCGCGGACCGGTCTTTCTGAATGTTCTATTGAATTGTGCCTTTTCGATCCGGGAGCCCGGAGACAGCCTCCGACGGCGCGTAGCCATTTTGGCTCACGCCCTCTTGGCTCAGCACCAGCATCGTTCGACTAGGGCGCGTCGCCGTGCCCCAGCTCCGCCGCGCTCCGCCGAACGAGGCGATGGTCCACTCGAGCGTGGTCGAGCCCGCGGCCAAGAGGGCCAAGACCACCGACCTGGCCGCGCTCCGCGCGTTCACCTACGGGGAGCCCAAGGTCATCGCCGAGATCGGCTGCAACCACCGGGGCGAGATCGAGACCGCGAAGGAGCTGCTCACGCTCGCGAAGGAGGCGGGCGCGACAGTGGGCAAGTTCCAGAAGCGGTGCCCCAGAGAGCTGCTGACGCCAGACCAGTACAACGCGCCCCACCCGAACCCGCAGAACTCCTTCGGCTCGACCTACGGGGAGCACCGCGAGTTTCTCGAGCTGAGCCTCGACGACCATCGCGAGCTGCAGAAGCACTGCCAGTCGATCGGCATCGAGTACTCTTGCTCCACCTGGGACCTCACCTCCGCAAAAGAGATCGTACAGCTGAACCATGTTTGATTTCAAGGATTTGGATCTCCGTCCAAATGCATTGGGACATGATTGAGTATCTTCGCGACACTCTGCAGGGAGGTCCCACATTTCCACAGGCAATACCACCAAGACGAGGATCGAGCAATCGTTAAGTTTGGGAGGTAGGCGGCCCCACGCCGCCGCGAACCGAGTCGGCTGTACAATTGCACTCTGGATACCCCGTGCCGTTCAAGGGACGTCTGCCCTGTCGACATCGGCTGCTGCAGAAAAGTACCAGCACAGCGTCAAGTGCATCGGCATTTTCGGGGCACCACCTGGGCATTGCCATAGACGTTGCGGCATACGCGATTGGCGCGCAGTGGATCGAGCGCCACTTCACCAAGGACCGCACCTGGAAGGGCACCGACCACGCCGCCTCCCTGGAGCCCGCCGGTCTCACGAAGCTCGTCCGCGATCTCGACGCCTGCTACACCGCCTGCACCTACAAGGAGACCGACATCTTGCCGCTGGAGTCGGAGCAGCGAAGCGAAGCTGAAGTGGGGCCTGTACAATAAGGATATCGTGGCCAAGCTGAAAGATCGCCGCCCCATCTAGGGCGGCGCAGGGTGTGCAAGGCTCTGCGATGGAATTCGTCTTCGACACGCGCATGCGCTGTCCGATGCGGCGGCGCCACGCGTGTCATCTTTTCCGTGCTATCAATATAGGACCAAACCATCCCCGGTCGGTGAGTGCTTGTTCTCGACCTCAGTGGTTCATGTGCGGCTTGGTGTGAGATCCACGCCTGCCTGCAGCGTTCACCAGATCCGAGCAAAGAGACTGCGGAGCAACAGTAAGAAAACATAAGGAATAGAGGCCTCGACGGCGGAGACGGGTGAGGAGTTTTTCTTCCCTCTACTATTCATGTGACGTCGGAGTCTGGGATCCTCGGTCTGCCATCGGGCGGTGGACGAGGAGCATTTAGCGACCCAGGAGGAAGAGTGCTGGTTCGCACCGGGTCTACCGCGGCGGTGACGCCAGCGCGTTCGGATGGTCGAAGGCCGCCAGTGGAGGGGATCGATTTGTATCGACGATTCTGTTGAATCGGGAAAGCTGCGCTCATTCCGGTGGAACGGTCGCTCAGATTGACGGACTTGGTGCCCGATTCCTTTGTCCTCTCTCGTTTTTCTTTTCCGGAATGGGCACAGGGACCAGTGTTGTCTTTTAGTAGGTGATCTCAGTGCCGGGCCCTTGTCGCCACCGCTGGATTCGTTTCGAAATTCTGGGCAGAACGCACCCCAGGAGAGGTCCAAGGAGTAGCGGCATCAGTACCTTTCGGCTTCCCCAGTTTGGATTGAGCAAACCATGATCGTCTGAGGATTGGCCTCCCGGACCCCTCCACGTGCGCGTTCTGTCCAGGAGATCGAAACGGTTCCAATCTGCCTGCGTTGGCCACCCCGGAGGCCCCAAAAGCGCAATCACATCAGCAGCATCACAAGGATCACCTCAATCCTCGATCCAGGATCCCAGACGTCCGATGCCCTGATGTTTTCAGTGCGCGTGCCCTGGAGCTCTCGACGCATTCCGCGGACCGGT